CTTTTAGCCATCCTATTTGTTATAAAAAATAAAACCCTGCAGTATGACTTTCTATAACTGTTTATTGTTTCATCTTTCTTTGTTAAACCAGGTCTCTCTTTAAATGAGTCCTCGAGGCTCAATGGGACTAACTGTACAAATAAAGGTTGAATGAATATTTCATCCCATTTTAATTAAATCAATTCCTGCAGTTTTTAGAAGTGTCGCAGCCTGAACTGGAATAAATAAGAACGGATCTAAAATGAATAAAATAAAATAATTCTCTAATGTTTGTTCGCGGCTGACCGGCAGGTGTTGTGCAGGTAAAGGTAACTCCGACTGACAGCAGCTTCTCCCTGAAAGATTTACTTTTTACACATGAACTCATCCAAACGTTATTTTTAATTTTATTCATTTTTTATTTCATCCCCACATTATTATTGTTTATTAACGCGTGTAGTGACGTCACACCGCGGCCTGTCCGGCCGGTCACTGGTGTTGCGCATCACCTGGTACCCAGGTAATCAGGTCACCGTGGGAAACACCGACACGGTGATGTAGCACGAGCCGATCGGTAGAACTCGGTGTGGACACCGAAAGGATGAAGTGACACCGTCCTGCGTGATGGCGTCAGTAAACGACGACGGGTTTTGTGTTAAATCGGTAATTTATGGACGGGATTCGGCGGGGAGACCGTGATGACGCGAGCACCTGCCTGACAGTCGCCGTGCATGAGCCGCTCCGTCGCTGCGCTCCGCCGGTGACCGCCGGAGGGTTTATCCGGGGATGGATCGACTCCTCACGGCTCCATCTCGTATCTGTGTGAGTGTGGAAGGAGCTGCTCTGCCGGTAAACCACCGTCCGCTGCCGGTTAACGCCGCCGCTGCGGAGGCTAGCAAGCTAGCACGGGTAACTTCCGGGGAGACACGCCTTCACAATAAAAGCATACCGAACGTAACGACCAGTTTTAAATACAAAATATTTTATAATCATAGTTTTTCTTACTGATACTAAAGGAATGTGTTTCAATTATGGATTTTAGTTTTCGGATACAAGTTCATTGCTGCTAATACATATTGCATATTGTCTGTACCATTAAAACAGCAACAAATAATAAAACATCCTGAATCTAAACTCAGTGCAGAAAAAGATGTGAGAAAAACTTTATTTAAAAAATACGTTTTTATTAAAATATTAGAAAAATATTAAGATCCTGTTAATTAATCCACAAACACTACAGATCCTGTAAACTTCATTAAATATCTTGAAGGTCAGGAAAAAACTTGATGAGTAAATAAATGTAACAAGAACAAACTAAATCTGCTCACACAGACTCATGTTCGTGCTGCTGTTCGGCGTATTGTGTTTATTGATTTTATGCTACTAGTGCTTGGTTTATTATACTTAGCTGATGTTTTTCTTGCTTCATATCTTAGATCTTATTACTGTTTTTCTTTTACATTTTATTGTTGGATGTAACTGTCAAGTCAAGTTATTTATATAGCACATTTAAAACAGTAACTGTTATCAAAGTGCTTACCAAAAAAGATCACAGCCTCAAATATTAATAACAACATATTACAGCAACATGAATAAAAGCATAAAAACATGAAATATAATGAGAAACGAAATACTAAATCAAATCACCCTGCGTTAAATGTCAGGGAGTAAAAGCAAAATGGATGAACACCATCTGGGACTCTGTGTTCATAATGTCATTCCACCACATGTACCACATGTGGAATGACAAATAAAGAAACTGGGTTTAACTGTTGTCAACTGTTCTGAGTGGAAACTTATTTATTAATTTGAAACATTCATTTCCGGTTTCATTTTTCTGTGGAATTGACGGAACTTCACACCGACACTTGACGGAAAGAGCCGAAGAAAGCCGAACTCACCGGGTTCGTTCTGGTTGTTTTTTATATCTTTAACAGTTTTATAAGACGATTTATTTTGATTTTATTTTACAAATGTTTTAAATAAAGTGTTATTAAAAATAAGTATTTTCTTTTAAGATATAATGATAAAGTTCTATGATTTGATTTTATGTTAGGTTAGTGGAATTTTAAACATTTTGAAGATTGATAATATTATTGAGCATGCATCAGGATATTGATAATAAACGTTTCATTATTTGGGTTTTGAAATAACGGGCTGGATGAAGTTCTGCTGGTTTATCTGTGTGTTGTTCCAGTAAAGAACGCAGACGTAGCTCCTCTTCAGCAGTGGCTGGATATGGTGGATCCACCTGGACAAAAGATGTGCTGATGATCTTTGTTGACTATAGCTCTGCTTTCAACACCAACTTCTCCAACAAACTGGGGGAACTGGACCTTCTCCACCTGCACGTGGGTAGTTTCCTGTCCAACCGCAGTCAGAGGGTTCGAGTGGGCCATCACACATCCATGGCCCTCAGCCTCAGCATGGGAGCCCCACAGGGCTGTGTGCTGAGCACCCTGCTCTATGCCCTGTACACACAACTGAAGACCTGCTCACCACAGTCACATTTGCAGATGACACCAGGGTGGTGGGGTGCATCAGTTGGGGGATGAGGTGGAACAACTGACTGCTTGGTGCAGGGGGAACAATCTGCTCCACAACACCTCAAAGACTAATGCCCCTGATCCACAGGTACTACTTGGGCCCGCTTTAACCTGCTCAGGCCGGTTCCGTGTTTTTTTCCACGGTGCCTTCATCGTGGAACCAGCCTGGTTTAGCACCTACTTCTCTGTGGTTCCACTGAGTCCAATCAGGACCCTAAAATGTGACATCAGAGCACTGTCGGTCACTGATTGGTCAGGGGGAGGAGTCACTGGATCTCTCAGAAACTTTTCACACCGATCCGGCATTTGCAATTTCTCTGAAGCCGGAGCAGCAGCTGGATCTATTTTAAAGATTTTAAAATAATAATGACAACACCGTGGTCTAACACTGAAGTGCAGACGTTTTTTGTGTTTGGTGGCCGACGACAAAATTCAGAGCGAGCTAGATGAAGCTCCGCCGGTCTTCCCGGGTCCTCTCCACCGGAGCCTCGGAGTCAGGCCGGGCAGGGCGTCATGTCCCCGGTTCCGAGCTCCGCTGGTCACCACAGAGGATCATACAAGGTGCTGACTCACAGAACACTGGACCCCGGCCTCGTGTAATCATTAAGGACAAACTCCAGTCTCGGCAGACAGGTGGACCGAGACAGGTCTGGACGGATGGTGGAAATGGTTTTACAAAATATTTTATGTATAAAAAAATAATGTATTTTATTTATCAGTGAAGATTTAAAACATAAATAAATGGCACCAGCTTTGCAGCACGGTGGCACAACTGGTAGAGCTGCTGCCTCTCAGCGAGCAGGTCCCTGGTTCAAATCCTGGTCCGGAGGCCTTTCTGGGTGGAGTTTGCATGTTCTCTCCGTGCATGCGTGGGTTTTCTCCGGGTACTCCGGTTTCCT